AAAAAAAGGGATGATGCTAGGGGTGAGGGGGTGGCTTTTCCAGTAAGTTTAAATAAGCCATAATGCTTGCCCCTTCCAACATAAATTGACGTGTTTTTGGATTTTTCCTAAATACCAGTATTACAAAAGTTATTGAAGGTGGATACTTTTATCTGAAAAGCACTGTATAATAGAGGCTAGTGCATATGTTTACAATAATGAATCCAATTTTCAGTCCTCTCTTCCAAAATATAACCACAATACTCGTTTTAAAGATCCAATCTTATCAAACACTCATACAACTTCTTTGTATGAAAAAGCGTGGAGTTCAGTGAGTGTAAATTATATAATATTCTTCCAATAACTCTTAAGAATTCTCCAAATATTAATGTATTCAAAAGTCAGCTGAAAAAACGTGGTAATTCAAAGGACTTGTTACACCATTCAATAATTCACTAATCAACTAACCTGAGATCTTCAGCTTTAACAAATTTGGCTATAGTGTTTTGCTCAAGTGTTTTACTTTGAATCACAGAATACTTGAGAAATTGTGTGTTTTTTATAATATATTGACTTCTTCTTAGTCTACAACTATTTACATTTATACTTCTGTTACTTCTATCACTTATGAATGTTTATCAATACTTTTGAACTGTTTGTGTTAATTAATGTGTTGTTTATATTATTTTGATTGACTTTTATAATATGGTTACATGTAGTTATTTACATTTATGTTTTTTATATTTACTTTTGGCCTCAACATTTTCTTTGTTAATTATGTATTGATTTCTTTCAACTGTACTTTTCAACCAAAGAAATGAATATTATTATTATTATTATAATCACCTGAATAAAGAAAAGAAAACATGAAATAATTTGGAAGACCCCAAAATTCAGAATTCAATTGGAACATCAAAAATGTTTTAGTTACCACGGTAGCTACTATGTGAAGAATATTTAGAGAACAATAATCATTGATTGAAGATATCTTTTCATCGATTTATTTTATAATAATGTCCACTTCATTGTACCTTGTAGTGTATGTAGGCTCCACCTGATATGTCTGCAGGGTGAGGTCTTTTTGCAAATTTCGATTGAGATTCTAATTATTCCTGGTGATTCACATTACTGATGTTTCAAAAATTAAATAAAATAATTATTGAGAACCTACTGGAATTTGCAAGTTAGATTCACTGGTGTCTACATTTTTGTGAAAATGTTACAACTTAATAAGTTATAAACAACTGAACCTGGTGACCATTTTCCATAATTCTATGAAACTGATCTATCAAACTGATGAATTTATCATTCCTTTTGCTGATGGTTGTAATTTACTGGACGGACAATCTGTTAAAGGAAAATGTTTTTCTTTTGTTCTTTGAGATTTGTCGTGGAAATTGTGGACACTAGGATAACATTTAAAGCAAACGAGAAAATGTAAACATTTTTGAGGCTTAAAGTTTTCTCCAAACATTTATTTTTCTTTTCAACAAACGTTAGATGTGTACTTTATTTATCACACATTGAAGTATCACAAAAAAATTCCCTTTCACTGCAGACGTCAAGCTATTGCGCGATGGTGTTGCATTGACTTTTTAAGTAAAATGAGGATGAACAGAGATTTGACCCCTCACGTTTGGTAAATATAAGAAATGCAAAGAAGTTGACGGTAGAAGAAGTCACGGAATATTTATACAACTCTGATTCAGAAAGTGAGCTCGACAAGTCATTGCCCTGTTAGTTTATTATAGTTTTATTGTTGAAAAATTGGTAATTAATGTTACTGCAGTGAAAGGATTAATATCAAGTAGCATTCTGGGCATTTAAAAACATATTTACACAAAAATTGGACATTCAAATGATAATTCTATAATACTAGTACAAAATGGCATATACAGAAATTATATGAAAATTAGATAGAAAATATTTTCTGTATAATCAAAATCATACACACTGTTTCTTTCCACGGGCTAGCCGCACTATTTCACTTTAGTAAAATATACTCTAGATGAAAATAACAATTGAGTAGGAGAACCTCGAGATTGAAGAAGAGACCAACATATTAGCTAAGAGAAAATAATAATAAATCTTGGAGTCAAGTTTGAAGATTCTCAATCAAATCTTCATCGAGGTCATTGAATGAATTCTTGAAGTTTGGATCCTCTCCTATTTCTTCGTAATCCACGAAATTTGATGAGTCAGAATCTAAAAAAAATTGAAGGGATGGAATGTAATTGACAATTCGGAGAATATGAATTTTGATGAGTGTTTTTATCATGTGCTTCAACTGAAAGCTGAAGACAAACACAATGAAAATTGTATTATGTGTAAAAGTATCAACATATCCATTGATAATCAATATACTATATACAATTTTTCATAAGTCATGGTTATTTGAAACTAAAAAGCGATTTTCATAATCTTTTTATACTATATTCAACAACTGACATATACATATATAAAAAAAGTAAGATTCACCTATCCAATATATGTATTTTCAACTTACTTTATATTCCTCAAATAAAATACCACCAAAATCTCCATTGAAAAATTTAAGCAAGAAGCAACTTGAAATAGGAGAAAAAATAACATCTGCTAGTACAATATCAAGTTAGAAAAACTAACTCGCTATTGGCTAAACATTTTTCACAACCACTTTTTCTGTGTTTTGCGCAAATGATCCTATTGCAGTTACCACACTTGGTCTCTTCCTGGTTCACTGTCGAGACATTATTGATTCTTGTTACCTCCAAAGCATCTATATAGTGCTCATGACCCAAACGAATTATGTATCGTACTATTCTTGTTGGAATCGATATTATGTTGAAAACTTTGGCGAAGGAATATGTGCATACATCATAGCCGATGAGGACTGGCATAAAAGTTAGTGTCCCGATATTCAGTAGTGACATCATGTTGTCGCCTTCAATCCAATTTTCTAAATAAAAAATTGGCAATTGAAATCTCCAATAGGAAAGGTGTCATGGTTATTACCATCAGAATAGAATATCCACCATTTCCAACCATTACCAATCCAACAAATATGACACAACAAGAGAAAGATTAAGATATACTCGACCAAAAAAAAAAAAAACCATCTCCAAAAATATTCACGTTTTCAAAGAACCTTTGAAATATGGTTAAATTTTTTTGTTACTTCACTGTTTCAAAAACTGAACACCAGTCCAAAAGTCAATAGTTTTATTTCAGATTTGTCACTGGAAATTAAAAGTTAGCAAACAAAAATTACATGAGAATTCCAACTTGAAACCAATGTATTAAAACACGTACCCTTCTTAAATAAAGACATAAAAGTAACCAATTTAGCTTTACAATGTTCAACAAAATCAAGAAAACAAAAATATATGATAAATCAGGACCATATAGGCACAGACTCATTTATTTGATGTTTACTTTTCTCAAATAATCAATTGTTTGATGTGCTGTGCTGTAGCCGGCGTTGCAAATGATGCAATATTTTAGTCTGTTTTTCCTGATTTCTTTCAAAACTTTTGGAAACAAAATATTATTATTTAGCCTCCCTCCACTGTTATTCTGTCCTCTAAAGAACAAATGTTCTCAATATTGTTTATTTTGAAGCTGCCAGTGATTCTAGGATAATCAAAAGCAAATTTTATGAATATTGTAATGCTACATTGGAGAAGTACCATCTAAAATAATAGTTCATGAAAACATAAAAGGCAACCTTTGTGTTATTCAAGAAAAAATGTTGATTTCCATCATTAGCCTAGATCTATTTGTTATGTAGTTAATCGATTATGACTATCTTCAACCCAAGATTTTCTGGCAATATGTAATAAAAACTTACCACTTTCCCTCTGTTTGATCCTGCTGGATTCCATGAATTCCAAATATTCTTCAGAGTGAAGAATTTGGTACCAACTTATCAAGCAAACTAATGCAATGAAAAATAGATTGGCAGTAATACCTGAAAAACCAAATATTAAATTATTTTAATAGATTCAGTTTGAATTTTGTGTATTTCAGTGTATTTTGAACCACCTGAACATAATTGTTATGAGAAAAATAATTGACAAAATGAGTATTTCAAATAGTGGAAGTAAAAAATTTGGGGTATAGCGACTTTTGATTTGGATTATAATAAAATACCGTTAAAAACATTGGAATCTTCATTTGAAAAATTGATAGAAAGTTACAACAAAAACTATAGATAAACTCTGATCCTAATTAAACCCTGATACGAAATGTCACCTCTTTATCAAATTAATGGATATTGTGCATACATAGTAATTCTATTGAAACAGTTTTGGCTTCAGTACAGTTGCGACAACTTGAACTGACATTCTAGTTTTTATGATTTTATTAACCAATTGTAGAGATTCTGCTGAAAATTTTATACCTACATGCATGTTTCCCTACTTTATTTTTTTGGGCTTCACATACTATATATTTCTGACCAATCAGAAATATTTTTGCACACACTGAGATTTGTTTATTACCCGCCCATGATCAGAGTATTATAATATTTTATCCTTGACAAGTTACATGAAAATTATTGTCATATTGTCTATTGAAGTGAGATCAGGCTACTCCAAAAATTAGAATCTAATGATTTTTACTTTTTTTTGGCATTCATAGATTTCTTTTACATTTTATTGTGCATTCATTATATTGAATGAAAGCTGGAGTTATGCTTTCAGTCAACTTTGGTATGCTTGTGAAAAATGTTTTCAAAGCAAATATCAAAAACATAATTCAGTGAAATCTTTGTAAGTTAGATGTGAGAAAAGTGCAATAATACAATATACCAGTCAATTTCTTTAATGAATAATAAAATTACATTATGAATTTTGTGTCCCTTTCTTTTCGACCAGATTTCAAATAATGACCAATAATGTTTGTTCCTGTATCATTTTTGCAAATTTTAGTATTCTTGGAATGAAAACATAGCAAGAAAATCTTTGGACCATTATTCGATACACCTTATCGGAACTGTTTCAGTATACATATTATCAAAACTGCTAGTATTGGAGATACAAAGACATCCAAACTAGTAAACTACTAGCATTTTTTGATCACATAAGAAACAGAAAAACAAAGAGGGTCTTTTGAACATTTTGGGTAAAATATTGTATACATTATGAATGAAAGCTATTGTATACATGTCTGCGAACGCTTGAGTGAGCTATTGTATACATATGTTGTGGTTGTTGATAGCTATGTTGAAAAAAGGCAAGAGGTGTGAGGTCAGGAGATTTGGGAAGCCTGAATAGCACCATGCATTCCTATCTGTTTACTATTTATTATTGAACAATAAGTACAGAGGAGAGGATTAGCTGATATGAATACCTTGCAAGCAAGTTATAGATATCAAGACCTTGCTGAAAAGTATTTCATGAATTCAAAACGAGCAGAAAAATGTAATGAATAAAAGGGTGGCATTTTTGAGCATCTACTAAAAATATACAACATATTTGTTGTACAATGATTGAAATAATAGAGCTGCTGTACATCTTCTATTCACCCCTAGCATCTTTCCCACTTTTTACTTTACAAAAATGATAACATTCAAGATTATCAATAAAAAAAAGATATTTTACTCGAAAAGTCAGAACTCAATAATTTTTCTGTTTCTCGAATTTCAACAAGTATAAAAATGTCTATACCAATTTAAAAAATTTCTTATCTACAATAACAGTTACCAATGATGCACACTTAACTTGGATCAGTCTGTTTAATTCTGGCGAATGAGGTATTGATTTTTTTACATTTTTTGTTAAGGGAGCATATTGCATTCAACAGTACTCAAAAGTCTACATATGTTAAACTTGTGTACATAAAAAAAATCCACATACCCAGTGCAGCTGATAATACTGGCCAATGGAACATTATATACCTCAGGCCTGCGAACTGGGCATTAACAGAAAATTTAGCAGAATAGATCTCAATAAATCGAGATTGAACTTCCACAAAAATATCTGTTACTGGTTCATACTGAAAAAGTCACAAAGTAAAATTTAACTGATTCTTTTGGGACTAACTCACGTCATTGTCTTCAAAATTAGAAAATAGTTCTACTTGGACAGTTTGCTTCTCTTCTGCTGATCCAAACAGAAAAAATGGACTGAAAACCAGCTTATATAAAGTATCTAGTAGAATTCCGCGATAATGTAGCATTGTAGAGCGACAGGAATGTTCTACAAGTGTTCCATCCCTTCCTATAAATTCCACACAAACCATAAACATGCCTAACTCTCTGTTTTTAGGAGATTCAGGCATTTCTAAATCCAGGTGTATTTTATAAGGCTGACCTATCATAAGTAATTGCTGTCTTTCAGTCAACTGCACATGAGCTGAAGGAAAACTACAAATCCCTTTTTCAGCAATACAGTTATCAGTTGCACCACAAGGCCTGAAAAAAAAAACGTTTGCTTTAGTTTTTAAATAACTGGTAAAAAAATTATTCTTACTTGAACTTCAAGAAAACAGGCCTCTCATGGGATATGGTAGGTACATAAACATAATAAAATGCCACATACATTAATATTGATAACCAGACGAGAAGAGCGGTAATTAAAGCGACAACTGTACCCCTAAATAGAATTTCTCTTACGTTATTGACTCCAGCCTTTGTTCGAGACTTATATAAATCTATCGTATCATGAATGAATTTGACCAGTGGTATCTTGAATTTTTGTCGTATATATTGTCTAGGCCCCAGTCGTAGAAAACAACCAATAGATGATAATATTCTCAACATTTTCAGTCAAGTCATTTGAAAATTGATCTTACAAAAAGACAAAACTAATAAAACAACCTTCTTTTTGTGAACGCGCAGCAGTTTTCATATCTTTTAATTGTTTCGACATGCCTACTATGAACTATCAAAGTTCATTAAACAGCTGATAACAAAAACAATCAATAAATCACACAATCAGTTTCATACAGTGGTGCCATCCTCACTGTAGTAACCAGTGACGTCATGATTTGGACTGCCCATTGAAGATGGAACATTGACTTCCACTGAAAAAATTAGGAGATTGAAATCATGAATATTTATAATTACGATTGAGGTTTGATATTATTATGTGATTTCATTCAAAATTGGTATTTAGAAGTCTTTGTGGAACGACATTATGAAAGGGGATATTTCTGATGTTTTTAATGATCATTTTTTTGATCTTATTCTTATAAATAAAGTTTTTGGAACTAGGTTTATATTATTTCATTATTTGACATATCCCAACCAAAAAAAGGTTAGAAAAATGACAACCGTCATTTTTTATTGAATATTGTCTATATGCAACTCGAGAGCCTCGTGCAAAGAAAGAAAAATCAAAACGGAAATCATATTCTTTGTGTGAAGTAAGTTAGTTGTTAAGTGAGCTATAACAGATTTAACACCTGTTGCACAAGAATAACTATGAACATTGAGCAGAAAACTTTTTTCATGTTTGAATACAGTTTTTTCATTTACATTAATGATTTTCCATAATTATAGAATTCGTCAGCATTAATTTTTAAAAAAAACATAATGTCGGTCCACAAAGACCCCTGGATACCAATACCGTACCGTTTGTTCATCAAATCTGAGAATAAATCACAAATTTCTTCATCTAATTTTACGAAGCAAAGTTGATTACTTTTGAAATTAACATTTATCATTGTTATGAATTAGTTTATTTCAAATAAATTAATTTCAATAAAAATCTGGTAGGTGGTAGAAAAATTGGCCTCATTTTCATAATCATTAATAATAAATCAGATTTCCTGTAGGAACTATTTAAACATAATACATTTTCACCTGAAATGATCAATTTTATAAATATATAATATTCCTCCGATTATCAACTGAACCAACCGCCACTGTTTTACGGTCCAACTTACTTCAAATGTAAACAAATTCTTTATAACCTCTCATTACTCGCCACCCCCCCGCGCCCATAAGTTGTACAGAAAAGGATACCCGCTTCAAAATACATGTATTGTATTGGTATAGGCACCGTTTGGGCATGGCAACTCAATGTCTTATTTATTACTCTGAGTCTGAGACTCACATTCGCAAATGACATTGACAGTATTGACATTTACCTCCACTGTTGCGTAGATTTCTAAACTTTTAAAAAAATGATAAAGTCAATATTTTTTGCGAGTTTTATAAAAAAATACTTTATTCACCAGGAAGTAACACCCACTTTTTTCCATTTCGAAGAAAAATTAAGGTTATTACTTGGCGTATTTTAACGATGTGTCTATTAAAACTGTTCTTTTTGTGTTTCTGAGTCTTTAATGTATCCTTCTTCATTGACGAATTGAAATATTTAATATAATTATTCAGGTTATCAATTTTTCAATTTTGATCAAGTTTTTTCGTTATCTATTTTGTTACTATAGTAACAACAGAACTGGAGACCCCGAAAAGGGCATCCAGAGAGGACTAGCAAATGACAAAGAAGGTGATAGATCTGGAGAAAATTAATGGGCTGAACTCATTTCAACCCTATAAGTCGCCGGGACCTGATGGCATATACCTAATAATGCTTCAAAAGGGACCGGAAGTTCTATTTAAAAAATTGTGTGTAATTCTCAGGGCAAGTTTAGCACCGACTTATGTTTTCCAAAAACCGAAAAGTCTTTTAAAAAATGTTTTTTTATTCAATACAGAAAAATTATTGAAAACGATGTTTAGTACATGTATAAAATCAGACTGAATGCAAAAGGTCGTTTCCCGAGGCGATGCTTTCTGGTCGGCTATGCTGATAAGAAACTTTTCTAGGAATTGTAGCTGAGTGTCAGCAGAATCCGGGGTCAGTGACAACGTAATTAGCGGGACAAATACCAAAAACTTGGAGACTGATCAGGGCCACCTTCATTCCGAAACCTGGGAAAATCGGACAGGACTCGGCGAAGGCCTTGAGACCAATCAGTCTCATGTCATTCGCTTTGAAAACGCTAGAAAAACTACTTGACAGGCATATCAGGGACGTATCACTGGCTATCAGACCATTACATCGAGACCAATATGCATACAGGTCAGGTATGTCAACAGAAACGTCGGGTAACAGAAAAAGTAGAAAATACTTACAAAAACAAGCAAGTACTTTTAGCTACTTTCTTGGATATTGAGGGCGCATTTAACAATACGTCGTTAGAATCAATCATCCAGGCGTCGAGGAGAAGAGATATCGGCAGGACAAGCTGTAGGTGGATAGACTGCATGCTTAGGGAAGATTAGTATATACAACCATTATGGGGGAAACAGTCGAGGCACGGGTAGTAAGGGGCTGTCCTCAGGGAGGGTTTTATCCTCTCTGTTTTGGAACCTTGTCAGTTACGAGCTATGATGTCTCCTGGACCGCAATGGGTATAAAGCACTGGGCTATGCAGACGACTTAGTCATCTTAGTCCAGGGTGAATACAATAATGTAGTGAAGGGATGCATGCAACAGGCCTTGAATATTATAACAAGATGGACCGAAGATGAAGGGCTTAACATAAGCCCATCCAAATCGACCATAGTAGCATTCACCAAGAGGACTAAAACGGAGAGTCTCGGACCTCTAAAAAACTACGAAGTGAAGAAATACAAGTGTCAGGGAAGGCTAAATATCTGGGAGTAATTTTAGATTTCAAACTGACCTGGAACCAACACTTGGACAGGATGAAAAGGAAAGCGGAGGTAGAAATGATGCTCGCCAGACGCACCTATGGAAAACCATTGGGGCTAAAACCAGACATGGTATATTGGCTATACATGACGGTGGTTAAACCCATGATAACATACGCATCTCTGGTCTGGTGGCCAAAGATGAAGCAGGCGACCGCTACCAACAAACTAGGCAAGGTGCAAAGACTTGCATATTTGGGAATGACGGGAGCAATGAGAACTACCCCAACAGCTGCATTGGAGACATTCCTGAATCTACCTCCTTTACACTCTGTGATAATGGGGGAGGCCAGGATGGGCCAATTCAGACTGGGAAACTCACCGAACTACAAAAGGTAACATGTGGAGGAGCACATGACACCGAAGTACACCTTTAACACAAACTTCACGGCCAAAATCATAAGCCTTGAAGAGTGGAAGACCATTAGTCATCCCGAAAACATGTTTGGAAAAAACACCAGGTATACAGATGGATCGAAGGCCAAACATGGAACAGAAGCTGGAATATACCGAGCGGATAGAAATTTAAACTACAGTTATTTGCTAGGACTATACACATCCGTCTTTCAGGTGGAAGTCACGCCTCAAGCGCGCGAGAAATAGGAGCGTTTCAACTTGTCAAATTGAACCAATATTTTTAAGATTTTATGAAAAAATAATGACTACTCTTACAGCTATGTTTATTTTTTTTTCTATATCAAAATGAAGTGAATATTGAATAAAAAAAATAAAATAAAAAATTGTCTGCATATTCCCTATTGCGAAGATAAAAAGTAAACAAAAGCCACGGTCATCGAAACAAGATGAATAGCACACTCCCAGCAAAACCTACACAATTGACAGAAGTCAGTTGCTTTAACGCTGACGTCAACGAGCTACGTAATCGAAAGTCAGCACAGCGCTTATGGAAATGTCAACTCTTCATTTACATCTCCCTGGGTAGTTAGATACATTTGAGGTATTCATTAACTTCATTAACTTCAAGTATTATTTCTGTATGTATACTATAGGCAAGTAAGTGAATTCAATGATGCCTAATTCGTATGTTTAGTCATTTTATGACAATGAATTATATTTCAAGTGAACAAATGTGATAATTCATCGAAAAATGTACATGAGAGATTGCCGAGTTTGGTGCTGTTTTCTGCTTAGTGAACTGTACGAACTGTATAACGAGATGTGTAAAAACAGAAAAGAGGGGCCTGTAAGTGAATTCATATACCGGAATATTTTTTGTACAAATTACAATCTATCTTTTTTCAAACCCAAGAAGGACCCCAGTGTGCGACATGCAGTAGATATAAACTAGCTGACAATAAAGGAAAACATGATTTGGAAGCTGAATATTCTATACATATCACTAGGAAAAATGAGTGTAACGAAGCTAAATCAAACGATAAAATTAGATCTCAGGATGATGTATCTTTCGTAACAGCAAGTTTTGACCTGCAAAGCGCGTTGCACCTTCCCCATTCAGAAGTATCGGAGTTCTACTATGCACAAAAAATTTGCGTAGGTATACAACCTAACAATTTATGAAGGTCTTGGAAAGAATGCCTATTGCTTTTAATGGAATGAGCTTAATGGAAAAAGGAGTAGTAATGAAATAGGATCTATTTTACTGATGTATATACAGAAGTTGCTGATCACAGTTATTTTCTGACAATTGAGAAGGACAAAACCGTAACCAGCAGGTAGCTGCCACTCTTCTGTATGCAGTATCCCATAGTCACATTAACAGAATCAAACTTAAGTTCTTGGAGTTCGGCCACTCACACATGGAGTGCGACTCCATGCACTCGGACATAGAGAATGTTACAAAAAATGAATCGGCGTTTATTATGAATTACTGAATTAACATTATAAGCGAAGTCGTTCAAGCAGAAATACCTACAGACAAAAAAAAAACAACAACAAATGCTGAACCAGATGTGCCGTACCAGATACATGAATTAAAATATGAGGAATTTAACCCATTAACGGCCAAGGCATTAGAAATTTGTAATTTAGAAAAAAAATATTGTGGCACGTTTAGAATACTCAAAAAAACAACAATTCGTCATTAACAAAAATATAAACTCACAGTATTGAAAAAAAAGTGGGTGCGTAAGCGCACCTTAGGCCAAAAATGGTTAAAATAATCAAATGAAAAACAATGTGGTATCTGACAAATGGATGTTTTGTTTTATTGATCTACACTATCCTTATTCACTTGTATTTCATAAGTTCCGCAATATCCTCCTCC